TATATATATATATATATATATATATATGAAGGTCTTCCCTTAGATTCGGCGCTTCTCGTGCGAGGCCCTCTCATTTCCCATCTTCAATGGCTCTATGCGGCGCCCCACGGCCGTTTCAACGACCCTTCCGCCCTATAATTCCTCGTCCTCATCTTCTTTCTCTCTCTACCCCTCCGTCCTTCCATTCTCTCACCTCGTTCGCCTTCTTCCATCTCCCGCCTTCCCTTCTTTCACAGAGCAACGAAATCGGAAACCAATCGAAAAATAAAAACAATGGAGCTAACCCAATCCCTCATTCCCCAAAATTCCATTAGCTTCTCCTCTTCCTCTGCTTTCACCCACAGGGAGGATACTCTCCGCGAATCCGACCACAGCCTCTCCATCGACAATCTCTCCATCCACAACACCGACACCGATCTCTCCACCGCTGTCTCCAATGAGAACATATGCATAGCCGGCCATGCGGAGCAGGAAGATGAAAACGCCGCCACCAACAAAGAATCCTCTAACTACGCCGACGACGACGACCTTCCTTCCCTCTCCGATGACGTCGACAAATTCCTCTCTATCCTCAGCAGCCTCGGAGACTCCCCTGCAATCGTCCCCGATCTCCCTGACATTTCAATCGAACGCTTCGCCGCCCTAATAGAAAAAGAGATCTCCAAATACGAATCCGGCTCCGCCGACGACCACCATTCTCCTTCCTTCCTCAACTCCGTCGACCGCGCCTCAAAACTCACCGCAGCCCTCACCCCCTTTTCCTCCGACCCCCATTACCTCCAAGCCCTAAACCACACCAGCGCCGTCCTCCACCACGCCATGTCCTTACTCGAAGATGACTTCCACTCTCTCCTCCTATCCTCCCCTTCCTCTCCCACCCGCCTTCGCTCCATCGCCACCTCCATGATTTCCTCCGGCTACGAAACAGAGTGCTCTCAAGTCTTCCTCATCTCCCGCCGCAACGCCTTGGAATCCTCCGTCTACGAACAAGGCTTCGAAAAAATCAGCATCGACGAAGTCCAGCACACGCCATGGGAATCCCTCGAGCACCAAATCGTCTCGTGGACCAAATCCTTCCGGCATGCTCTTTCCATTTTGTTTCCCCAAGAACGCGATCTCTGCAACGAGGTCTTCCAATCCCACCGCGCCATCGCCGACAGCATCTTCCACAACCTCGCGCGCGGTATCCTCATCCAACTCCTCGATTTCGCCGAGGCCATCGCCATGACCAAACGCTCTGCGGAGAAGCTCTTCAAGGTTCTCGACATGTACGAAGCGCTCCGAGACATGATCCCCAAACTCGAAGACCTGTTCGTCTCTCCCGATTCATCCGATGGGAATCTCACCGCGGAGATGTCGGCGGTGAAGAGGCGGCTCGGGGAGGCGGTTGTGGCGATGTTCTGCGATTTAGAGAGTTCGATTAAGGGCGAAATCGTGAAGATGCCGTTGATCGGAGGGGCGGTCCATCCATTGACGCGTCATGTGATGAATTATTTGAAGCATGCGTGTGAGTATAAGAACACGCTTGAGCAGGTGTTTAGGGATCATCGGAGGATGGATAGGTCGACGTCGGGATCTTTTGATGAAGAGAGGGGAGACGGCGGCCCGACAGGTGGCAGCGGCGGCGGCTCGAGGAATTCGAATCCGCTCTTGAGGCAGCTGGTTAAGGTTACGGATTTGCTTCACTGTAATATGGAAGGGAAGGCGAAGCTTTATAAGGATTTAGCGCTGCGCAGTATCTTCTTGATGAATAATGGGAGGTACTTTTCATAGCTATGGAATTCTCTTGAAATAAAGGATTCGTTTGTGCAGAAATTATTTCGTGCAGAGTTTGAATTTAGAGCTACATTCAAACTTCAATAAAAATATGATACGTTATATATAGTGTGTATAAATTTTACGCATAATATGTAGAATTGTGTAAATAGGGTGTATATTATGTATATAAATTTGTACACACTATATATAAATTTTGTATTTTATGCATAGTATGTACATTTGTACACATTGTGTACAAGAACACGTGTTATATTTTTATTGGAGTCTGGACAAGAACACGTAATAATTTCTCTCATTCGGAATAGCTTTTTTTTGGACATTTAGGCCAATTAAGACAAATTCACACACACATCACCTACACAAATATTCGAACCCAATACCTTTTAGTTGGTGGCCTAAGCTAGGGGTGTAAACGAGTCGAGTCGAGTCGAGTATTTGTCTTATCAAGCCTGGCTCGTTTAATCAAGCTCGATTAGTGGGCTCGAGATCAACTCGTTTAGAAAATATCAAGCTCGAGCTCGAGATCGAGCTCGTATGTGTGTGTGTATATATATATATATATATATCGAGTAGCTTGATAAGCTTTTGAGTCGAGTCGGGTTGAGCTTGAACTCGAGCTCGTTTATCATACGAGCTCGATTGTAGGCTCGAGCTCGAGCTCGAAGCTCGATAAACTCGGCTCGTGAGCTCGTTAACGAGTTGAGTTCGAGCCGGCTCGGCTCACATACACCCCTAGCCTGAACTTTCAACCAACAAGTCAATGTGAGCTGTGTAGGAACAACTTTCATAAACAGGTGTTTTATTAAAATAAAAAATAAAAAAAAATTAATTCAAAAAATTTTTAATTAAAAAATAATTTTAGAAAGTAATTAAAAAAGCTGTAGCAAACGAAGCCAAAAATTGGCTATTAATTTATTCAAAAATTGAACTATTTGCTTATAATTAAATTCTCACACATGTTTTATTCAGGTACATCGTCCAGAAAATAAAAGGATCGAAAGAGTTGAACCAATTGCTGGGCGACACGTGGTGCCGAAAACTATCAGCAGATTTACGGCAATACCACAAGAACTACCAGAGAGAAACATGGTCCAGAGTGCTGGCCTGCTTCAAAGACGAAGGGCTTCAGTCGAAGGGCTCGGTTCTTAAACCGGTTCTCAAGGACCGGTTCAGGTGCTTCAACACCATGTTCGAAGAGATCCTCAAGACGCAGAGTGCCTGGATTGTGAGCGACTACCAGCTTCAGTCGGAGCTAAGGGTATCGGTTTCGGCCGTTATCGTCCCGGCCTACCGGTCTTTCCTCGCCCGGTTCAGCCAATACCTCGACCCGGGAAGGCAAACCGAGAAATACATCAAGTTTGGACCGGAGGATCTCGAGGCCCTCATTGACGAGCTGTTCGATGGCAACCCTTTGTCCTTGTTAAGGAAGAAATAAACTGCCTTTGATCACTGCAGGCACGTTTTTTATGTATTTATTTATTTTTTTTTTATTTATAGGGCCTTTTTTGTCTGGGATAGTTGACTTGTGTTTTCTAGATGAATTATTATGTGCGGACATCATATTGGAGAACCGTCGGTGTTCTCTCTATCTACAGCTCACTGATTTTTACTATAGCAGCTGCCCTTTTAATGTAGATGAAGAGAAAACCGAATGGTTCTCTCCATTCGGTGCCCGCACAGAATAATATCTATGTTTTCTATTACTTTGATGCGGATGATATGATTTTCTTGCAATTTGAATTGAAGAGTAATACACTGAAATGTAAGTCTATTAATTTATAATTATGTTTTTGAAAAAAAATATTTTAAAGTAATTTGATCGAAGAATAAATTTAAAAAATATTGACCTTATTTTAGAATATAAATATAAATGATGATATGAGGATTGAAGTTGATTTTTATCGAACAAGGAGAATTTCTAGCTTCCAAATGATGGAGCCCATCTCAACGTCCATTAATAGCGGTCATCAAAGTTGATTGGTGATAGACCACGATGTGTGCATGCTGAGTCTTGATACCTCATCATGAAATTATCTTGATCGGGCACGAATCTCAAGGCAAAACCCAACCCGGAAACTTCAAAAATTAAATCTGGGATCACATGAACTCTGATGTCAGCAAACTTACAGTCAAACTGAGTGTCTCAGAAATATGAACCCAACGACACCAAATTCAACTCAATCCGAGCCCAAATGAGTCCAAATCAAGGACCCGAAGCGCTATTGGAAAGTTCGTACCACAATTTGAGTTACCAAACGATCTCCAAACTTGACAAGCTTATAGTCGAATCGAGCGGCTCGACGAGACAAATCCAACGAGCCCAAGATTGCTAAATTCCGAAGTCATTAAGACCTTCAAATGCGTAATAAACGGTCCACGATCGAACGATTCAATATTGATCGTTCATCTTAACCACTCCATATTCGCCCTTGATTTCTCATCATTTACGGGTCATGCTACTCCATAAAATCTATAAATAGATCCCTCATTTCTCATGAGGGGGGAACGAAGTAAGATGGAGGAGAAGAAGAAGAGAAGAATAGGAGGGAAGAGACTCCTCCTCGACCACCGCGAGAGTTCCGCCCGAACACCAAATGACGCCGGAATTCTGCCCAACTTCCACGGGATGCCAGAATTCTGCACAACTTCCACGGGATGCTGAAATTCTGCCAAAGTAACGACAGAGTTCCCCCTGACGCTGAAACTCCACCCAAGTGATACCGGAGTTCTCCTCCACCAACAGACATCGGACTTCTACCCGACGCCGGACCTTCACTCATCGCCAAGTTTCTACCCGATGCCGGACTTCTACCGGTTATCAGACTTTCGCTGGACGTCTATCAGAAGATGGATTCCTTTCCATTGTTGGACTTCTACCTGACGCCGTCCTTCTGACCTTCATCGTCAGACAACAGTTCTTCCGACCTCCGTCGCCAGTCGACTATGGTCCTCCTGACTTACGTCGCCCGCCGACTATAGTATTTTCGACATCCGTCGCCCGTCGACTACGATTCTCCTGACTTACGTCGCTGATACTTAATAAGAAAATAAGTGTTAGAAAAAAATACTTTTTTATTTTTTGTTCGCTAAAAATATTATTAATTAAAGAATAATTTTATTCTTCAATTAATTGAAGAGTAAAATAAGAGATATATCATCATTAATATTTGTTTGAGAATTAATATATGGTTGAAAAAAAATCAAATCATGATGTGACTCTAAGATTACTAGATTAGTGTTAAATATGATCTAAATCGAATATTAGATCTTAGTTAATATATTCATATTTGTGATTAATCTGATTAGTAATTTTCCCCATCTCGAAGTAATTTCAATGGCTGAGATTTAAAAAATCATTGCTTCATTCTGTTATATTAATATAATAGAAATATAAAATATGGTATCATTATTTAAACAATCACTATTAATTAAAACTTTCTAAATTTGTAAGAAATGTAAAAGAATAAGAGAAAATATAGAAAGAAATTCTAAGGTTACTATAAATAAATATGTTACTTTTGTCTTTTATACCCTCGCCGCCACAAAGGCCCTTTTCAAATTTATTTCTATATCTCTGGACGCGGCGTAACGGGCACCTGCTTTACACTAACGTGCAATCGGATCTGGATCCGGATCCGAATGAATCCCGGCGGCTTAAAGAAGGCATCAGCCAGTTCGCTGTACCAGTGTGTCTCGGATCAAAAGTTTCCTAAAAAAACAGAGCGATCTTTTCCGTTTACCTCGGGAGAGAGAAGTCCAGAGAGATGGATTGGGTGAGAGGCGCCGCCATCGGCCGAGGAAGCTCCGCCGCCGTCCACATAGCTTTTAACCGTAGCTTCCCGTCGACGACATTCGCCGTCAAATCGTCTGCTCACTCCTCTTCGTCACTTCTGCGGCACGAAGCAGACGTACTCGCCAAACTCCAGGGCTGCAACCAAATAATCGGCTTCTTTGGTCACGACATCACCAGTGATCCTGCTGGCAGCGGCATCGATCTCACCTACAACGTATTCCTCGAATACGCCGACGGCGGTACTATCTCCGACGCCATACAACGCGCCGGCGGCCGCCTACCGGAGTTGACCATCCGCCGCTACCTCTGCTCCATTCTCCTCGGTCTTCGTCACATTCACGACATGGGATACGTTCACTGCGACATCAAACCCCAAAACATCTTGATCGCCGGCGAAGAAGCGAGGATCGCCGACTTTGGACTTGCGAAGAGAGCGGCAGAGGAATCCCACGTGGAAATCAGGGGAACGCCGATGTACTTGGCTCCGGAATCAGCTGCTAGAAATGAGTACGAGGCGGCGGCGGATATTTGGGCTTTGGGATGCACTGTGTCGGAAATGGTTTCCGGCCTGCCGCCGTGGCGTGACGCCGAGGATTCAGAGAATGGAGTTTGGGCTTTGATGTTTCGACTCGGGTTCAGCGAGGAGCTGCCGGAGATCCCGCCGGAGATGTCGGAGGAGGGAAAGGATTTCCTCCGGCGCTGTTTCGTGAAGGAGCCCAGCAGCCGCTGGAGTGCGGAGATGCTCTTATCTCACCCATTCGTCGCCTCCACTTCAGAACTGGAATTGGAAGAGGAAGCCATGGCGTGCTCTGTTTCTTCTACATCTCCGAGAAGTGTGTTGGGTTACTCATTCGCTAATCCAATTCCACCGTCTCCTCCGACGACTTCAGAAATGCCGGATTCGTTTCAGTTAGGGTTCGCTGAGGAAGGAGTACTGAGAGTAACGATCGGCGGATTGACATCGGAGGAGCGGCCGGATTGGACAAGCGCTTCCCCGGAGGAGGAGGAAGCCATGGCATGCTCTGTTTCATACACATTTCCGAGAAGTGTGTTGGGTCATTCATTCGCAAATTCAATTCCATTGTCTCCTCCGAGGACTTCTGAAATGCCGGATTCGTTTCAGTTAGCGTTCGCTGAGGAAGAGGTGAGAGAGAGGATTAGGGGATTGGCATCGGAGGAACAGCCGGATTGGACGAGGACTTCGCCGGAGGAGGACGAAGGGTGGCTTACTGTGAGGTAGGAAATCATGGATTGCAGCCTTGCAGATGGACAAGAAGAGATTTTTTTTGTTGCAGGACTTCATGGTTTGGTGATTATTAAAGGTCTGAGGTTTCTTCGCTGAATGCGTACGTGCCGCCATTGGTGTCCTTTCCCAGCTCTGATTCTGAGAACAACGGAGGGATTCGTTATGTCAGATGGGCCATAATTTGTTCTTTTACGGATTGACATTGTAATACTTTGTTCTCTCTGATCAGTGTTCGATATATCGTTAACCTTTTTTAGTCCTGAAAGCATCTGAAATTTTCTCGGCCCTGAGAGCATCTGAAATCAAATATCGGTGAAATAATTTCATAATATTGAGATTTTAAGACGCGTTTTGTAATTTTTTTTAGGCTTGAAAGCTTCTGAATATTGTAAAAAAATAAAATTGAAATATATTGGTGTTTTCTGAAAAAAAAAAGATTTGCAAGCCTTCTACGTATGACTGATGACATGATAATGTGCCAGTTTTTTTTTTTGGTTGCACACAGCATGAATTTTTTTTTTGCAGATTAAACCTCATAAAATTCCGTAATAGTTTAATTATGTAAAAAAAATGTAAAATCAAATGAGCATGATCAAATGATAAATAGAAACTTCTTAGAAGTTATTTTTATGAACATAAGAACAAACCATTTAATGACATTTAATATATGCCAAATATTATCATTAGGGAAATCCCAAATAATTTTAAAATCTTTATAATTTAAATTTATCATTAAATGTTATGATTATACATCTTAATAATGATTAGATGATTTTTAAGAAACTTGAAATCATGCATGCACTAGGAGGAAAATTATGATTCTCAATCAACTCAATTAAATTTGAATTATTTGACACTTAAATGGAAGAAATTAACAACCATGTTATTCTTAGGGGTGTCAATATTTGACACAACCCGAAAATCCGACTCGAACTCGACCCGAAAATTTTGGGTTCGGGTCAACCCGAACCCGAAATGGGTCTGGTTCGGGTTAAAGGTTTTGACCCGTTTGAAAAAATGGGTCGGGTCCGGGTTGACCTGGAATTTTGTTTAGATTTTGAGCATGCTATTCCAGCCATCATATCATTTAACATGTGTTTATAAGGCTCTTCTACAAGATTTGGTTTCTTGATTCATGTCATAAGAAAAATGTGTTTATCATACTTGATCCCATATTATAGAAGTTGAAGGCTGATGGTAGGTTAGTAGAAAATTGTCAAAATTTGGTACAATTCTTAAAATAAACCCTAATTTGATGTTTGCTAGTGTCAAGATATGTCCCAAATGTGTTTTCATGATCTAACCCAATTATGGTGAAGTGTGATAGAGTCGGCTAGGATGTTTGATATAGTGTGAGATGTCTACTTGTAGTTGTCCGTTTTTAGTATTTTTTTAACCAACTTAATCAGTATGATTTAATTTGTCATGTTAATGCCATTTCCCTTGTTTTTAATCTTTTTTATTTGTGAGGATTAAGATGATCATTTTCCATTCCATTATGCTTTTCATTAGGGGTGTCAATTCGGGTCAACGGGTCGGGTTCGGGTCGAACCCGAAACTGACCCGGCACTGTTCGGGTCAACCCGAACCCGACCCATTTTTAAAAACGGGTCAGGTTTCTGGACCCGAACCCGACCCGATTTGGGTCCGGGTCAACCCGACCCGACACGAATGACCCAGAATTGACCCAAAATTGCTAATTTTCGGGTCAAAAATCGGGTCAATCTCGGGTTTTCGGGTCAAAATCGGGTCAAAAACGGGTCAATCTCGGGTTTTCGGGTCAAAAATAAGTTTTCGGGTCACTTTCGGGTCAATTTCGGGTTGGCGGGTCAACCTGAACCCGACCCGATTTTTAAAACGGGTTGATTTCATGAACCCGAACCCGACCCGTTTCGAGTTTGGGTTGACCCAAACCCGGATTTTTCCGGGTCGGGTTCGGGTCGTGTTTCGTGTCGTGACAAAAATTGACACCCCTAAAACCCGGGTCTTATCCGGGTCAGGTCGTGGGCCGCGCGGTAAAGAGTAAGAACACATGACACCATTTTACTGGCTTCCGAACGTAGAGCTACGTCAGGACACCGGACCTAATAAAAATTCCTTCAACAACTTCTACTAGTAATCAATGTTACCATCGAAACATAGGGTCATGCACTTTCCAACAAAAGGCTAATTTACATGCATAATCCTCAATCTTTAGGATTTACATATTTAATTAACATCTAAACTATATTATAAATTTACATACATATCACTCAAAATATTAAGATAAAATAAAAAATTACAAATGCATTTTACAATCTACTCCCATTGCCGCCATGCCGACTCTAGTCACCCTTTGCACACTGCATATCTTATCGAACTCTTCTCCGTTCCGCACTAGATTTGCTAGAATTCGTTCCACCTCCTATATAATGGAAAAGGAGTGAAATAATGAATTTTTGAAGTTTCTATTTTTATTAATCTTATTAATTTGTATTTTTTTTATTATTTATTGATTAGGAAAATAAGTGGTAGAGTCAAAAAAATTTCTGGTGGTGGTACAAATCATTAATTAAAAAAAAACTCTTAATTTTTTTCATTATGGCTTAAGAATGGCATTGGCAGCTCTAATTTTTTTTTTTATGTGGCATTATAAATAGATAAATTATATAGTATAAAAAAAAAATTATGTTGACAATATTATCTCTTCATATTCTCCTTACATGTTACCTATTACTTCTCTCTCGGAATCTTTATTTTTTGAAATCGTTGTGCAATCATTTCATTATCAATGCTATTAAAAGTTAAGACAAATTCATACACACATCACCTATTTGTTAGTATCCCAAACTCCCAACCAACAGATCAAGATTTTTTTTTTTTCAACCAACTGATCAAGATGAGCTACGTGTAGAATAATATTCTCTTATATAATTATACTGCTAGAATACTTGTTTTAATGCTGGATCTACAACTACTTAAAAATGATATTATTATTTTTCACACACAGAGATACCTATTTTTTAGAGCAGTTCTAACAAAAAAACAAAAAAAAATCATAAACTTTAATTTATAATTACCTTTGTAAAAAAATTGAAGCCGTTGCATACAAATTAAATCATAAATCTCACTCACAAAATGCTTTTAACAAGTTAATAACTAGCTATAAAATTTATGCCATCAGTTCTAAAAAAATTGTTGGTAATTTGCCCTGGCAAGTGGCAATAATAACGCATTGAATAATATATTAGACCGATTTATTGATATATATTAGCCAACTCACAGGTGAGATTATTTCACTACTTATCAAGCATAATTATCGTCATTTCATCACGAGAAAAAAATTTTTTTTTGCCCTTTGCCCCAAAAAATAGGAAGCCTAACCACAACTTGTTGTGATGTTACGTGCCAAATCATGAGTAATAACACTTGATTGTGTCATTTAGGTTTTGTTCGGGAAAAAATTATTCTGTGCGGATACCGATCAGTCGGGAGACCAACCAGTAGAACTCCGCACATCATTCGGTACCTAGCAAAAAAATGACGTGGTACGTTCTGCTGGTTGGTCTCCGGATGCCGTCCAGTGTCCGCACAGAATAATTTTTCTTGTTTGGGACGATTTCTTTACTGCTTTCTAAAAAAAAATTAGCACAAATTTTTTTTAATCTCAAAAATTTTACGCAACAAAACTGCTTCATAAAACAATTAAGAAAGCCATCCAAATGAAACCTTAGATTAAAGAGATAAGTAATATTAACATAGAGATTAGTGCTCAATCATACTTGATATGCAAACTATTCTATCCAAGAAAATAATGCAACACATACTCTTAAACAAAACTCTCACCTCTAAAATTTTTTTGGGTAAATTTTGCAAGTAATACACAGTTTTTACTGAAATAATTGATATCTAAGTTTTTCAAAAGAGCTTGAAAAACTTCCCTATTTGTGTGCTAACTTTACTCTTTTTTTTTTAATCTGAAGGATATTGTTTTTCTTAATGACTTCAAACAAGTTTTATTTCTTTTTGTTAGTAGAGATTGTAATAAGTTAACTGATATGTGTGCTAGCTTTACTCTTTTTTGGATGTGTTGAAGGGAATCATCTCAACACCATAAGACTCCGAGTTATTTGTTTCATTTCTATAAACTTCCTATGAAAAAATAAAATTAAAGTATGTTAATCAATTTAATTCAATAATAATTAATTTAGCTGAAAAGCTTTAACTAAAGATATAAGCATCATCAATTTTCTTTTCTTCCATCACTTGAAAAGTAATTTTGCTTTCTCATACAAATAAATTTAAGAGTGCTTAGAGTCTTCGCTTTTTTTTTTTTCTTCTTCCAACCAACAGATCAAGATGAGCTACGTGTAGAGTTTTCTCTTATATGATTATATTGCTAGAACACTTGTTTTAATGCTGGAACTACAACTACTTAAAAAGAATTTTCTTATTTTCCATACACCAAGAGAGAGAGAGAGAGAGAGAGAGAGATAGTTTTTAGAACAGTTCTAAAAAAAAAAATCTTTTTTTCAAAAACTTTATAATCAACATTACAAAAAATTAAAGCCGTTACCCTTCTCCACAAGAGAAATTATTCTATGCGGATGCCGAACACAACTTTACATTTGGAGACCACCCAGAATGAGCCACGCTGCAATAGTGAGCACAGTAACGAGTGATACAGAGCAGTAACGAGCGGCGGTACTGACGTGGCTCATTCTGGTTAGTCTCTAGATGACTCTTCAAAAGATGAATTAAATAAATGAATAACAAATTCTTGTAATTCTTCTCGCTTCCCTGCGGCCTCTCTCTCTATCCAAGAATCCACTTTCTCATTCAAGAATTCGACCATACTAAATACAAATTAATATTTAGTCATTCAGTTACATTTGAGATAGTTTCCTCAGTGTTTCATAAAATTGCTGTAAAAAATAACTTCTTTGAACAAAATAAAAAAAATAATGACCAAAATCTGAAAAGCAAATTAATAAGAAAATTGTCTCAAACAAAACATAAGATAAAATCTAAACAAATCGAAAATACAATAGTAAGGAATTAAATAGTCTACCTCTAACCAAAATTTGCATATCCCTTTAAAGAAAAAAAAAATCATTACAGCATAAATTAAATAATAATAATAATATTAAAAATTGAGTTAGAATATCTGATTGAAATTTGATTTTTAAATTGTTAAATTTATTTTTAAATGGGCGTAATATATAAATAATCAATTAATTTTTTATATTACACTCTTCTCAAAATAAATTTAAAATTTTAAGAAAATAATTCCAAATTTTAATCAGAGTATTCTTAAATATTTTTTTTCCATAGGTAAAAGAATTAATTATGATCCCGGTGTCATAATTAATCTCTCTCTTGTTCTTGAAAATAGAGCTAGAAATAGACGCCAACGACGGTGAAAAAACACCAAGCTTATTTTCACCTTCGTATTCAACTCTAGCGCTCGTGCTCGCCTCTCTCACACTAATCCACCCATCGTTCTCCGGCGAGCGGCTTGCCCAATCTGGCCTCCCCTCCGACGACGCCATTGCTCTAATTCTTTCTCTCGCCCAATCTTCATCTTCCTCTAATAGAACCAAATCTGCCATTTTCGTTCCATCAAGAGTCGATTGAACTGGAGAGAATGAAACGCCCAGCACGCTCATTGGAGTTCTATATCGCGCAGAGCAAGCAACGTCTTCCTTTTCAATTTTTGATGCTGATGAGAGATCGACGAACGAGTGCGATAAAAGCATCTCTGCAGTCCATCGATTGTTGGGGTCCTTCACAAAGCAACGCCGGAGGAAATCCTTCCCCTCCTCCGACATCGTCGGAGGGATCTCCGGCAGCTCATCGTCGGATCCGATTCTCATCAGCAGACCCCAAATCCCCATTTCTGATTGATCGGTGCACTGCCACGGAGACCGACCAGAAATCATTTCTACCGCAGTGCACCCAAATGCCCAGATATCCGCCGCTTCCCTGTATTCCTTTCTTGTAGCTGATTCCGGTGCAATGTACATTGGTGTTCCCCTGATTTCCATGGAGGATTCCTCTGCTATCTTCTTTGCGAGTCCAAAGTCGGCGATTTTGGCTTCTCCGTCGACGATTAATATGTTTTGAGGTTTAATGTCGCAGTGAACGTATCCAATTGAATGGATATGGCGCAGGCCCAAAAGAATGGATCGAAGGTGGCGACGCAGAGTTTGCTCCGGCAGAACACCGCCGGCACGGCGGATGGCGTCGGAGATGGAGCCGCTGGCGGCGTATTCGAGGAATATGTTGTAGAGGCGATCGATTCCGCCACCAGCAGTATCTGTAGTGATGTCGTGACCGAAGCAGGAGATGATTTGCGGGCAGCCATAGAGTTCGGTCAGTATGGCCTCTTCGCGCTGAAGAAGGGAGGAAGAGGAGAGAGGGGCAGATTTGACGGCATGTATGGTCGGAGACGGGCAGCTCCGGCGAAAGGCGAGGTGGACGGCGGCGGAGCTTCCTCGACCGATAGCGGAGCCTCTCACCCAGTTCATCTTGTATGCTTTTCTTATTAGGAAATTAAGAAGCAGAGATACTTGGTTCTTTTTAGGAATCTTATGGGCACAAAACGAACTGGTTATGAGAGTTTCCTGATCCAATTATATATAAATGGTAAATCTCTGGAACTCGTGACATCACCTCCTTGAAAAAAAAGGAATGTAAATAATATGTATCATATTTTTTTCGCTTTTTTTTTTTTTTTGAAAAAAATTCTAACCCCTAAAATTCAGGCTATGAATTTCAAAATCTTGTTGGTTAAATTTAGGAGCACCTGCTTCAATTTTTTTCCCAACGTGTAAATAAATAAATATAGGCTCCACATTATAGTGCTTTAGGATTTGGGCTGCATCAACAAAATGCCACTTTAGAAAATTATAAACAGTACCATGTGCCTTAGATAAAGAGGTGGAGGGCAATTGGAGCTCGAATTGGAGAGCTATCTCTAATGCTTAATATGGCTAATATATGTTGTAGCTCAAGCTCAATCATATGATTGTCATCTGTTTGTAGAGGAGGATCTTTGATTGCTGGTCTCCAGTATTGCAACGGATCATTGCATCATCATATATCTAAGTACCATCCCTCAGATGTTGTATTTTACCATCTTCATCATCGTCCAACCGTCACTTTCTAACTGCTATCGCCCATCCACCAACACCCAAGAGTAGAACCATTCTCTCTTTTGAGGGTGAAAAGAATAACATTGTGAAATGGATAATCTTATATATGAAATAAAAAAAATGAAAAATAGAATTTCTTCTTAGAATTTAGTCAACTGCATTTATTAAAGGCGAGCAATTGCTCATCCTTAGATCTTCCTGATTCCTCCCGTGCCAACACTCGATTGAATTTGTTTGATTGGCATCATCTTCTTTCAATACTTCTCCATTAGTTTTAACTACAATCATAAGAAATCATATTTGTATTTCATACTTTGTAATTTTTCTTTTATACCTTGCCGCCACCAAGGTGCTTTTCAAATTAATTTCTGTATCTCTGGACGCGGCGTAACGGGCACCTGCTATACACTAACGAGCAATCGGATCTGGATCCGGATCCGGATCCGGATCCGAATCCGAACGAATCCCTGCGTCTTAAAGAAGGCATCAGCAAGTTCACTGTATCGAATCAGTGTGTCTCGGACCAAAAGTTTCCTAAAAAAACAGAGCGATCTTTTCCGTGTGTCTGAGGAGAGAGAAGTCCAGAGAGATGGATTGGGTGAGAGGCGCCGCCATCGGCCGAGGAAGCTCCGCCGCCGTGCTCTGTTTCTTATAAATCTCCGAGAAGTGTGTTGGGTCATTCATTCGCTAATTCAATTTCTTTGTCTTCTCCAAGGACTTCTGAAATGCCGGAGTCGTTTCAGTTAGCGTTCGCTGAGGAAGAGGTGAGAGAGAGGATTAGGGGATTGGCATCGGAGGAATTAGGAGATTGGACGAGGGCTTCGCCGGAGGAGGACGAAGGGTGGATTACTGTGAGGGAGGAAATCATCGATTGCAGCCTTGCAGATGGACAAGTTGAGATTTTTTTGTTGAAGGATTTCATGATTTGGTGATTTTTAAAGCTCAGTCTGAGGTTTCTTTGTCGAATGCGTACGTTCCGCCATTGGTGTCCTTTCCCAGCTCTGATTCTTAGAACAACGGAGGGATTTATTATGTCAGATGGGCCACATAATTAGTTCTTTTACAGATTGACTTTGTAGTACTTTGTTCTCTCTGACAGTAAACCCTTCTTTAGCCCTGAAGCATCTGAAATTTTCTCGGCCCTGAGAGCATCTGAAATCATGAATAATTTGATAATATCATAATATTGAGGTTTTAAGAAAATTTTGTAATTTTTTAGGCCTGAAAGCATCTGAATGTTGCAAAAAATAAAATTTAAATATATTGATGTTTTTTGGGGAACAAAAAGATTTGCAAGTTTTCTACGTATTACTGATGACATGATAATGTGCCAGTTTTTTTTTTTTTTTGTTGCAAACATCATGAAATTTTTTTTTTTTGCAGATCAAACCTCATAAAATTCCGTCATTGTTTAATTATTTATAAAAAAAAAAAAACTTGATCAAATGATAAATAGAAACCTTCTTAAAAGCTATTTTTTTGTAAACATAAGAACAAACCATTTAATGACATTTAATATATGCTAAATATTATCATTAAGGAAATCCCAACTAATTTTAAAAATTTTATAATTTATAATATTTATGATTAATTATCATTAAATATTATGATTATACATCTTAATGATGATTCGATGATTTTAAGAAACTTGAAATCATGCATGCACTAGGATGAAAATTATGATTCTCAATCCACCCAATTAAATTTTAATGATTTGACATTTAAATGGAAGAAACAATCATGTTATTCTCTTTAACTAGTACAAGAAAATTGTGCATTAGCAGATGCCCAAATTTGTCAAAAATCACAAAATTCAGTCGAAAAGTTTTCTTTTCTAGTAGATTTCTGGCAGAACTTCACTCGATGTTAAAACACGCGTTGGAAACCTTTTCGAATGGAAAAGTGCCGCCGGAAATATTTCTAGCCGGCTTACTGACGGAATAAAGCGGTATGATATGTCGTTATTTAGTCATTAGTACCGACGGTCTATCCACCGGAAAATCCAACGCTACATTTTCGACGGACTAAATTTTTTCCGGTAAATAGAGATTTTCATGTACTTAACATAATTAAACTAATGATTTGCACGGTTTTATTTATTTTTAAGGTGAACTAATGATTTGCATGCTTAAATATAGTTTTATCAAAAAATATATTTTACTGCTATATATGATACAATCTTATTACACAAAACTATAAGGATACTTCCCCATTATAAGTTATAATAATTTATCATTAACTCTAAAAGTTATATTTTCATTCCCCTATATATAATAGATGTAAGATACCTAAACATATTACATCTAGATTTACTTAACCTTGTCTTCTAATAAAACTAAATAATATTTGTCTAACACATATAATATAAAATTGTATATCATATATGTAATCTTTATTCAACAAAGGTTTTTTTTGGATGATTGCATTATTTTATAAAATTGATTGAAAAATTATTGTGAACATTATAAAAAATATGACGTTTTCGCTATAGTTCATATCGGTAGTTTATAAGTTGCTGTTATAGAGAGATATATACAATGATTTTAACTGTCACTAAAATCTCTTAAACATTCATAACTTTGGCAGCTAATTAGTAGAGGCAATTTTAAAAGTCGCTGCTGCAGATAATTATGACTCCCCCCGTTTTACTGTTTGATCCCCTAACCTTCGAGCTTGCTCAAGCCCGCCATCCAAATCCCTCTCTTATGATCCCGATGCTTTCCTCTCTCTCACTATTTAAAACAACTTTACATCTAAAGTTGCACAAAGCACATTCCACAATTGAATTTTTTTAAAAGTATGAGAAAGCAGTAAAAAAGTAGCAGCCAAACGAAATTATGATTACTATTTGAAAAACATAACTAACATAAAGCTATCCCAAATATACTCTAATTCTAAAACAATAGTATTCAAAATAAATAATATTTTGTTCTAATTTATTTATTTCAATGAATGTCTTACGTATTAAAACTGTATTATCTAAAAAAAAATAAGCTAAACACCTAGTTTTGAATACTCCTACTTCGCTAATACAAAAATAAATGTACTCGATGCTAATCATATATGTATACCACTATATTTGAAGACTATTGGGTCACTCTCCAACAAAAGGCCAATTTACATACATAACCCTCAATCTTTAGGATTTATATATTTAATTAATATCTGAACTATATTATATATTTACATATATATCGCTCAAAACATTAAGATAAAAAAAAAACAAAGCCGTTATAAAATCTACTCCCATCGGCAACATGCCGTCTGAAGGGGTGTCAATATTTGACACGATCCGAAAATCCGATCCGAAAATTTCAGGTTAGGGTCAACCCGAACCCGAAACGGGTTGGGATCGGGTTCAGCATTTCAACCCATTTCAAAAATCGGGTTCGGGTTAACCCTTTGACCCGAAAACCCGATTTTGACCCGGCAACCCGAGATTGACCCGATTTTAACCCGAAAAGAGGAGATTGACCGTTTTGACCCCAAAACTAACCTTTTTTTTGTTGGAAACGGGTCATTCGGGACGTGTCGGGTTGACCCGGACGCGAAACGGGTCGGGTTCGGGTCCGGAAAACTGACCCGTTTTTAAAAACGGGTCAGATTTGGGTTGACCCGAATAGTGTAGAGTCAAATTCGGATTCGACCCGAACCCGACCCATGACCCGATTGCATATGGCACCGAACTCTTCTTCGTTTCACACCATATAATGGAAGACGCGTGAAATAGCAGAAACTTTTTGAAGCTGCTATTTTTATTAATCTTATTAATTCGTATTCATTTTTTTGATTTATTGATTAGGAAAATAAGTGATATCATTAATCAAAATTGTTTTCTAAACAATTTTATTTGGATTATGCATTGTTATCACGGCATGTAGTATCATCCATTTTTTTTCTTTAAGAACTTTAAAAAGTAATTAATTTTGCTTTCTCATACAAATAAATTTAAAAGTAATTTTGCCATATTTGAGTTATTAAGTCAAATTCGTACGCACATCATCTATTGATAAGTATTCAAAACTCCCAACCAATAGACCAAGATGAGCTATATGTACAGTCGTGATTGACCTGTTCGTCCAATTTGGAATCCGATTCTGATTCCTCATCGGATTATTGTGGTGGTTCTGATCCTAGTCAGGATTTTAAACTGGTTCGTGATCGACTTGTTCTCTCTGTCGCCTCTTGTGGAAGATTTTGTGGGCGAGGCAGGAGAGGAAGATATCCCATTTATTTCCCGTGAATTTGCTATATTTATTTTTTTGCTACTTTTTTGGACTTCTGGCCTGTGCTGTGGGTTGACGGATTTCTAAGCTATGATGTGGCTGGGGCTCGCTTCCTCTGCGTCATAGCTGGTGGCAACCTGCGGTGATGTCTTCGCCTTATTGGATGGTCCTTGCGTGACTTCGGGGGTGCTGGGAGTCTCGGCCTTTACTGAGCCCTCGTTTGGAGTTCTCTTTGTACTTTTTGCTGTTTCTTTTTGGTCTTTTTGGGCTTTTGCTCTATATATTTTGTAATCTTTCTTTATTTCAATATATTGATCTTTTGGTTTAAAAAAAAAGAGCTATATGTACAGTCTTCTCTTATTTGATTAATTATATTGCTAGAACACTTGTTTTAATGTTTGATTTACAACTAATTAAAAAGGATTTTCTTAATTTCCACGAGAGAGACCTATTTTTTTAGAGTAGTTCTAAATTTTTCATAAATTTTATAATCACCTTTATAAAAATTTGAAGCCGTCATAAACAAATCATAAATCTCACTGCCCATTGTTCGCACAAAATAATTTTTCTTGTTTGGGGCTTTTCAAAAGAGCTTTAAAGACTTCCCTATTTGTGTTATATATCTAATAAATTCTTAAACAATAAGGAAAACTAACACTTACATTAATTTAGGGGATGATACTATGTTATGAATTGATCCAGTTTTATGTTATTTTGTTCGTGTATGAAATAGGGCGACTCTTCAAAAGATGAATTAAATAAATGAATAACAAATTCATGTGAATCCTCTCCCTCTCTCTCTATTCTGCGCCTCTCTCTCTCATCCAAGAATTCGCTTCCTCATTCAAGAATCCTAACTTACTCTATACAAATTAATATTTAGTCATTCAGTTACCTTTGAGATAGTTTCCTCATTGTTTGATAATGCTAATCTAAAAGCTCAAATAAGAAAACTTTCTCAAACAAAGCATCAAATAAAATCTAAACAAATCGAAAAAAGTAATTGTGACTGATGAAATAATCTACCTCTAACCAAAATTTGTATATCCCTTCAAAGAAAATAAATCATTACGGCATATGTTATGTTAATAAAAAATAAAAATAAAAATTGAGTTAGAATATCTGATTAAAATTTGGTTTTTAAATTATTAAATTTATTTTTAAATGAGTGTAATATATAAATAATAAATAAATTTATATATTACACTCTCCTCAAAATAAATTTAAAAATACTAAGAAAATAATTCCAAATTCTAATCAGAATATTCTTAAATATTTTTTTCCATAGCTAAGAGAATTATTTATGATCCCGGTGTCATAATTAATCCTTCTCCTTTTCTTAAAAACAGAGCTAGAAATAGACGCCAACGACGGTGAAGAAACACCAAGTTTATCTTCACCTTCGTATTCAACTCTATCGCTCGTGCTCGCCTCTCTCACAGTAATCCACATTCCGTCCTCCGGCGAGCAGCTTGCCCAATTTGGCCTCCCCTCCTCCGACGCCATTGCTCTAATTCTTTCTCTCGCCCAATCTTCATCTTCCTCTAATAGAACCAAATCCAACATTTTCGTTCCATCAAAAGTCGATTGAACCGGAGAGAATGAAACGCCCAGCACGCTCATTGGAGTTCTATATCGCGCAGAGCAAGCAATGTCTTCCTTTTCAATTTTTGATGCTGATGAGAGATCGACGAACGAGTGCGATAAGAGCATCTCTGCAGTCCATCGATTGTTGGGGTCCTTCACAAAGCAACGCCGGAGGAAATCCTTCCCCTCCTCCGACATCGTCGGAGGGATCTCCGGCAGCTCATCGTCGGATCCGATTCTCATCAGCAGACCCCAAATCCCCATTTCTGATTGATCGGTGCACTGCCATGGAGACCGACCAGAAATCATTTCTACCGCAGTGCACCCAAATGCCCAGATATCCGCCGCTGCCCTGTATTCCTTTCTTGTAGCTGATTCCGGTGCAATGTACATTGGTGTTCCCCTGATTTCCATTCGCGCTGAAGAAGGGAGGCAGAAGAGAGTGGGGCAGATTTGACGGCATGTATGGTCGGAGCGGGGTAGCTCCGGCGAAAGGCGAGGTGGACGGCACTGGAGCTTCCTCGACCGATAGCGGAGCCTCTCACCCAATCCATCTTGTATATTAGGAAATTAAGAAGCAGAGATACTTAGCTCTTTCTAGGAATCTTAAGGTCACGGAGCGTACTGGTTATGAGAACTTCCTGATCTAATTATATATAAATGGTAAATCTCTCATCTCTGGAACTCGTAACATCACCTCCTTGAAAAAAGGAATGTAAATAAAATGAACCATATTTTTCTCCCCGTTTTTTTTTTTTTAATTCTCCCTAAAATTAAATTTGATCCTAAAATTCTGGCTATGAATTGCAAAATCTTGTTGGTTAAATTTAGGAGCACCTGCTCCAGTTTTTTTTCCTCACGTGTAAATAAATAAATCACATGCAAATTTTGTATTCATATTTATCCTAACAAAATATTTTTCAATTATTACATGCTATAATTAAATCGAGCATCTTCATTTGAGAAAGTCAACGAGCCTAAGATCAATTAATTTTGAAATAATTAAAACACATAATGTTGAAAAATCAATGAAATGAATATAGGCTCCACATTATAGTGCTTTAGGATTTGGGCTGCATTTACAAAATGCGACTTTAGAAAATTATAAACAGTGCTATGTGCCTTAAATAAAGAGGTGGAGGGCAATTGGAGCTTGAATTGGAGAGCTATCTCTAATGTATAATGTCGCTAATATATGTAGTTCAACCTAAATCATATGATTGTCGTCATATATCTAACCACCATCCCTCGGATGTTGTATTTTACCATCTTCACCATCTTCCAACCGCCACACTCTATTTGCTATCGTCCATCCATCAACACCCAGGAGTAGAACCGGTCTCTCTTTTGAGGGTGAGAAAAATAAGATTATGAAATGCATAATCTTATATATGTAATAGAAAAATGAAAAATAGAACTCAAATAGCTACATTTTTTAAAAGTGAGTAAGATAATTAAAATGATTATTTTTTTAAGCAAAAAAAGAGATTTTAGAGTTATCAATTGTCCATCCTTAGCTTTTCCTGATTCCTCCTCTGCCAACACCAGATTGATATTGTTTGATTGCCGTCATCTTCTTTCAACACTTCACCAATAATTTTAATTAAAATCATAAGAGACCATGTTTGTAGTTCATATAAACTTTGTAATTTTTTCTTCTCCAATTAAGGAAAGAGTATACATATATTATAATTTCTTTTAACATATTGAATTATTTCAGCTTAGCTAAATCCTATGATTTTTCCCATTTTGAGTTTTTAGCATAAAAATTAAAAAATGCCCAAGGAATTTGTTTTTTTTTTTCCCTATATTTATTGAATATTCATATAAAATTAAGACATTAAACACTCACTTTATCATGCACCACAAATATTCTAGCAAGCTAAAAAATTATAAAGTAACATTCAGATGAGAATTAATATTACACCTGGAAATAAAGTAAAATTGGCCCTTTCCTGAGAATTAATATTACACCTGGACGCAATCACTTATTTTATTCGATAGCCAACTCTTATTGATCTGCTAATTTCTTTTTATTTTGGAGCTTCTATGTAACGTCTCAAATTTTTAACTATCGAGATATTATCCTCTTTGACATAAATGTATGTCTCATTATTTTGTCATGTTGGTATTACTTTGTAAAGGTCACCCATCACAGGATGAGCACGTGCGCTGAATTGCGGAATTTCTTAAATGAAATTTCAAATTTTCAATCATTACACTAAAAGACGTATCGATATTTAAGAATTTAACTTATTTTAAGGATTTTCTCGTTATATTTCTCAAGCCCAAAATTCACACCTTATATATACTCGACTACTGACTCTCCTGATTGGGCTAAGTATTTATGACATAATAAACACTCTTTAATTAAGATATTCTGTTCATAATTGGCTGGTTCTAAATGATGGTTTGAAAACAACTAAGACCCTCATCAAGAGAAATATTCAGGTGTCTCCTACTTGTGTTCTTTTTTTTTTTTTTTGGGGTATCGGTCTTCGGCCACTAATCTCCCTGGTCGACCTAGCATGCAACCCACACCAATTTACACGGGCCGACACTTAAGGCTGTCACGAAGTGCCAAGGGATTCGAACTTGGTACCTGGCCTTTGGCCAGCCAAGTCTCCACCACCAAGACACCCCGCGGTGGGTACCTACTTGTGTTCTTTGCAATCACTTTTTTGAAAGCTCTGAACATTTGTACTTTGAATGTGACTTTAGTTTTCAACTATTGTATAAATTTTTACCTTGCTTGGAAAATTTTTTACTTGGGCCAAATCTGCAACAAATTTTAAATTTTACTGAAGAGTGGACGGATTTTCCTTAACATATAAAACCTGCTATCTCCTTACAATCTGGGTTGTGGTACATTACTCTTGAAAATATTGGAATATCAGGAAATTTGGAAGAAATGCTTGTAGGTTTGCCACGGTTTATTGTTTAACAAAAAGGCTATTCAGTTTAAGCTTCTTACGTGGAAATATTGTATAACTTCCTAGACTTTACTTGGATCTAATCTAATTGGGAAGCGGCTGCTTTGTCACCTTCGTGGGCTTTGTTTAGCTTTGATTACTGGATTGTGATGATTGGCTTTTGCCACTGCGGTTTTGCTCCCTGGATGGTCTCTGGTTTATCTCAGGCAAGCGGGAGATTTTGATTTTGGACTGATGATGTCTAGGGGTATCAAAATTGGACCCGGCCCGAGAATCCGACCCAAAAATTTCAGGTTCAAATTGACTCGAACCCGAATTGACCCGAACTTGAATTAGGTCGGGATCGGGGCTGGAAAACTGACCCGTTTGCAAAACCGGGTCCAATTCGGTTGACCCGAAAACCTAAGAATGATCCGGAAAAACCCGTCTGCCCTGCCTGCCCACCTGCCCTGGTTGCCCCGCCTACTCCGGCTGTCTCGCTACCCTGCCTGCCCACCTGCCAGCGTTCATCGAGCCGCATAGCCAACCCACGTAGCTTGCCCGCTTGCCCCCGTTGCCCCGCCTACCACGCTGTCGCGTCTGCCGAGCCTCTTGTGACCGCGTCTGCATAATGCCACTGTTGAATGCCGGCTAACCGCGATGCCAAAGCCGAACGCCGGCCGCCGAAGTCACGCAAGTTCTGCAGAAGCGGGTCTGGTCAAGTTGACCTGAACTCGAAGCGGGTTGGGTTCGGATCCGAAAAACCAACCCGTTTGCAAAAACGGGTCGGGTTCGGGTTGACCCAAATAATGCCAGGTCAGTTCCTGGTTCAACCCGAACCCGTCCCATAACCCAAAATTGACACCCCTAATGTTGTCTAATATTTCGTTTGGGACGATTTTTTTACTGATTTTTAAAACAGTTTTTGAGTATAAAATTTTTAACTTGTGTACTAAAAAACTATTTTAAAAAACAATAATAAAACTATCTTAGTTTTGGAACGAATTTCTTATTAATTCTTAAACTAACTTTTTAATACAAATATTTTAATTTTCATATTAAAAAAATACTTTATGAAGTAATAAAAAAACCGTCACGACAAATCATCTCCTGCTTCAGCTATGACATAACTGCTGATCATGGTGACGACGACGAAATCTATCATCTCTACAACAAATCCCTTGAATAAGCAACCAGCTGTTAACAATAGAAATATGTTATACTTACCGTGTGTATTAGGCTCCTACTCACTGGACTTTCCTGTAATTATTTACTCTTCTTGTTGTCTTCTACTCTATATATAATTCACTGTAGCCAGATAATAGTATGAGAAAAACATTTACTCTTTACATTCTCTGTTCTCCTTCGTCCTGTTCTCACCTTACATGGTATCAGAGACAGTGATTTCTCCTCTCTCCCGTTCTTGATTCTTCTTCGCCGTTCATGGCTACCACATCCAACACCTCTTCCCCCAGCCTCTCCTCTGCGGAAGAAATACCACCGTCCCACCCACCATCTATTCCGGCATCTTTAAAAATTCTAATGAGCCACCTCAAAAGTGTCGTCGCCCAACCTCTCAACACCGACAATCACCCCTTATGGCGTTCACAGGTGCTCAAACTCTTCAAAGCTAATGGCTATCAAGGATTCTTGGACGGTTCCTCCCCTCCACCTCCTCAACTGACGACCGTCGACGGCTCCTCCACTCCCAATTCCCAATACGACGCATGGCTCCTCCAAGATCAAAACCTCGTTGCTGCCATGTACTCCATCATCTCACCCACCGTTCTGCCATACGTTCTCTCCGCCAAACACTGTGCCGAAATCTGGGCGATTCTTGATCGTCGCCTTCAATCAAGCACAAGATCAAGAATCATTCAACTCCGGCATGAACTTCACTACCTTACCATGAAAGACAAAACGATGTCCCAATATCTTCTTGACATCAAAGCCAAGGTCGACGCCCTTGCTGCCGCTGGCGCAACCATACCTATTGAAGAAGTTATTCACTACACCTTGGAAGGCCTTCCCCAAACATATCAAGCGTTCAAAACAGCGATACGTACCAACCGTCAACCTCTTGATCTTGACGAGCTTTATACTCTCCTCTGCAGCGAAGAGCTTAATCTTGCTCACGAAGCTACTCGGGAGCTTCAATCCCTTCAACTCGCTGGCAACACCACGGTGCTCGCCGCTACTCGCGGTCGTGTTTGTGGTCGTTCCTCCAATCGTGGACGAAATTCTTACAACACTAGATCCAACCCAAGCAACAACCGCAGCTCAAGAACCGCAAGATCCGCGATAACTTGTCAAATCTGCGGCAAGCCTGGTCACTCTGCCGTCAAATGTTGGCATCGACATGATGACGACTACAATTCTGAACAACCAGCTGCTGCTTTATTCACCTCCCCGGCAACAAACTCCTCCAACGAATGGTTTCTTGACAGCGGAGCATCCTCGCATCTCACCTCCAATCCGCACAATCTTCACACTTCTCAACCGTACACAGGGAACACTCAAGTCACTCTAGGTAACGGTCACCAAATTCCCATTCAAAACATCGGTAATGGTCTCCTACCTACCCCGCAAGGTAGCCTTTGCCTAACTCATTTAAATATGGTTCCTAACTTATCTTTTAATCTGATTTCCGTTCACAAACTTACTCATGACAATGACTGTCTTATTACCTTCTCTTTTCACGGTTATGAACTCAAGGATCGGAAGACCCGCCGAACTCTTCTCAAGGGTCCGTCTATTAACGGTCTCTATCCAATACAAGCCCCGCACCAACCCGCCAACGCCACCTCTCAACTGGCTCTCGTCTCTGTTCAATCCGTTCCCGACCTCTGGCATCGTCGTCTTGGACATCCCTCACCGACCACGCTCTCTCATCTCGCCAATCAATATTCGAATATATGTATTTCTTCATTTAAATTTCTTTGCAACTCATGTAAAATGGCCAAGAGCCATCGCTTACCTTTTAATAAATCTCAATCCACTAGCTCGACTCCATTTTATATAATTCATTCTGATGTCTGGGGACCTTCCCCATTCATCTCTAACAATGGCTACAAATACTATGTCAGCTTTATAGATGATCACTCCAAATTCACCTGGGTGTATCCGCTTAAACAAAAATCTGAAGTATTTGTCAGATTCTTAGAATTTCAAAATCTGATTTACCGCCAATTCCAAGCTCATATAAAAATATTTCGAACCGACGGCGGAGGCGAATACATTAACAAATATTTCCAAACTCATCTAACAAATCAAGGCATTCTTCACCAATTTACATGTCCGTACTCCCCACCTCAGAATGGTGTTGCCGAAAGAAAGCATCGGCATATCACCGAAACCGTTCGCACTCTTATCTTCACTGCCTCCATCCCCAATCACTTATGGGTTGACACTCTTCTCACCGCTGTCTATCTCATTAATCGTCTACCCTCTCCCAACACTCACAATAAATCTCCCTACACGATTCTTTACAAAACCAGTCCGAATCTCAGTCACCTCAAAGTTTTCGGATGTCTTTGCTACCCCTGGCTCAAACCGTACGCAACCCACAAACTCTCGCCTCTCTCGCATCCGTGCGTATTCATTGGTTATGCTCACAATCAGAAAGGCTATAGATGCCTTGATATCAAGACTAATCAAATCTATGTGTCACCCCATGTAGTCTTCAACGAAACTATTTTCCCTTTCTCCCAACCTACCGAGACCACAGTAAACACTTCATCTCAGAACCTCCACTTACCACCTCTTTTACTTGTTCCCACTTCCAGTCTACCTCTACCCACTCATTCTCAGTCACACAAGCCTTCACATCACTTGGATCATAATCCCACCGTTCCAGCACCTGTATCTAGAAACCCGCCAACAACACCACATTCCTCTTCACTCGTTTCCCAGCTCTCTACCTCCACTCATGCCCAGCCTACCACCAACGGCCCTGCTCAACAAATTACTCACCCTATGCTTACCAGATCCAAGATCGGCCACAACAAACCCAAGACCATCTTTAATCTTTCTCACATAATTCATACCGAGCCAACCACGTACAATCAAGCCGTCAAAAGCGACCACTAGCGAGCAGCCATGTCTCAAGAATTTCAAGCACTACAAACGCAAGGTACCTGGGATCTTGTACCACCAAACTCAAACCAAAATGTAGTCAGTTGCAAATGGACATACAGAACAAAACTCAAATCCGACGGCTCAATCGCATGATACAAGGCTCGTCTTGTTGCCAAGGGATTTCATCAAGAGCACGGGCTAGACTACACCGAAACTTTCAGCCCGGTTGCAAAAATTCCAACAATTCGGGTTCTTATTCTCCTAGCCCTGCACTTCAACTGGCCAATTCATCAGCTCGATGTTTCCAACGCCTTTCTGCACGGTAAACTTTCGGACACCGTTTATATGCAACAACCTCAAGGATTTCAAGATGCTCTTCATCCCAACTACGTCTGCAAGCTCAATAAGGCGCTCTATGGCCTCAAACAATCTCCACGGGAATGGTACGCTACTTTATCCACTCACCTTCAATCCTTTGGGTTTACTATAAGCTCGGCTGACCCCTCTCTTCTTACCTACAAATCAAAATCAACTCGGCTCTACATCCTAATCTACGTCGACGACATACTTCTCACCGGAAACTCATCTACCGAAATTGATCGTCTTCTTACAAGTTTACACAAGAAATTCCAGATGCGCAATCTAGGTACTCTTGCCCACTTCCTAGGAATACAGACCGTGCACACCAACTATGGAATTCTTCTTCATCAGCAACAGTATGCCCACCGCATATTGGCCAAAGCCGGAATGCAGAATGCTAAGCCGGTTGCCAATCCTTCATCCGGAAAATCCTCTCTAAACAGCAATCCAACCAACAAATTCGCAAATCCTCACCTTTACTGTCAACTAATTGGATCGTTACAGTACCTTACCCTTACCCGTCCGGACATACAATATGCCGTTCATCAACTCAGCCAAGCAATGCACCAGCCGCTAAACAGCAACTTCAATGCTCTAACCCATCTACTCAGGTATATTCAAGGTACAACCGACCATGGTCTTCCTCTTTATCGCGATGAGCTAACCTTGCAGGGATACTCGGATGCCGACTGGGCAAACAACATTCAAGACCGGAAATCAATATCTGGGTACTGCAACTTTCTAGGCAAATCACTGATTTCCTGGCGAGTCAAAAAACAGGCAACGGTTGCCCGCTCCTCCACCGAAGCCGAGTATCGCGCATTGGCTGCTGAAGCCGCTGAAGTGCTATGGCTTCGTCAACTTCTTGAAGAACTTCACATTCCACAACCGGATCCAACCACCGTATACTGCGACAACACCTCCGCTATCGCTCTATCCAACAACCCGATCTATCACGCTCGGACCAAGCATATCGATGTCGACTGCCACTTCATCCGTGATAGCATCAAGTCCAAGCATCTCACCGTTCATCACATCTCAACCAACGATCAACTAGCCGACATCTTCACTAAGCCTCTACCCACACGGCGATTTAAACTTCTATGCAACAAACTGATCGTCGCTCCCCCTCCATCAGCTTGACGGGGGCTGTTAGCAATAGAAATATGTTATACTTACCGTGTGTATTAGGCTCCTACTCACTAGACTTTCCTGTAATTATTTACTCTTCTTGTTCTCTTCTACTCTATATATAATTCACTGTAGCCAGATAATAGTATGAGAAAAACATTTACTCTTTACATTCTCTGTTCTCCTTCGTCCTGTTCTCACCTTACACCAGCGGCTCCATCTCCAATGCCATCTGCCGTGCGGTGGGGATCCATCCACCTCGGCCAAGGCCCTACAAATATTTTAATTTTCATATTAAAAAATACTTTATGAAGTAATAAAAAAACCGTCACAAAAAATCATCTCCTGCTTCAGCTATGACATAACCGCTGATCATGGTGACGACGACGAAATCTATCATCTCTACAACAACTCCCTTGAATAAGCAACCAGCGGCTCCATCTCCAATGCCATCTGCCGTGCGGTGGGGATCCATCCACCTCGGCCAAGGCCCTCATCCTCGCTATGTGATACGCTCACTGTAACATTAAACCCTAGCAGAAGAATGCCATGAGAAAATAAGTGGAGCGATGTTGTATTTAGTTCTAGAATCTGCTTTCAAAAATGAATTTGAAGCAAGCTGCGTTAGACATGTAGGGATTGAATTGCACGATATCAGAAATGGTGTCATGACACTGAGGATTCGAAGTATGAAACTTAGTAGTTGATGTTTCAAATCGGGGTTCGCGGAGATTTAATGGAGATCCTGCCTAAGATGTCAGAGGAGGGAAAGGATGCGTTGCTTTGAGAAAGAGTCCAGCAATCGATAGGCTATGGAGATGCTCTTATTAGGCCAATTCATGATTTCCTCCTCAAAATTAGAATCAAATGAGGAAGTCATGGCATGCCCTATTCCATTGTCTCCTTCAAGAACTGCGGAAATGGTAGATTCCTCGCCCACCTTCTTCCCAAGTCCAAAGCCGACGATCTTTGCCCGCTTGATCTCCATCGGCAAATCAGTATATTTTGGGGATTGATGTCGCAGTGAGCATATCCCATGGTGTCGGTGCGGAGTAGGCTGAGGGGGATGGACGGGAGGTAGCGATAGCGATGGGGCCTGGGGGTCTCCAGTAGAGCTCCGGCAGCACGGTACATTCATGGCATCAGGGATGGAGCAACATAAAGTGTATTGCAGCAGGCAATTCCACTATCCAAAGGCTCAGTAGTGATTTCATGGCTGAAGCAGGTGAATGATTTAGGGCAGCCGTAGAGTTCGGCGATTATGGCCTAATCAGGAGTAGGATGTATATGACGAGAGCAGCTCCGGCGAAAGGTGAAGTGGGCGGCATTAGAGCTTACTCGGCCTATGGCGGAGCCTCTACCCGCTCCGCCACAGAAATCAGAAAAAGAAGCAGATTATTGTATCGTTTTAGGAATCTTATGGACGCAAGAGGGCTAGTCGTGCCGATCAACGATGGTTGGGGGTGTCGGGACTCGGGAGGAACTACAGGTGTATGATAAATCGATGGAAAATCGTGACACGACATTCTTAATAAGTATCAGGTGCAGATTTCTAGAGGAGCGTAGGTGTGTTAGACTCTAATTCTTTCATGAATAAAAGACTTATAATAATCTATAGATTTTTCATAAGAAAATTCCTTCAAATATTGAAAATTTGTATGGAAGCGTCGTGGCACTTGTTTCTAGCATAGTTGCAGTTGCACTTTGGCTGTTCTTGTATCTTTTATTTTAAGGCTTGGTCGTGCAAAGCATGTCCACTCAAGTGTTGGCATATGCTTTTGGATTCTAGGATTGTTGAATGTTCAAGGGGTGGAACTATGCGCTACAATTTGAGCGCTAACACGCCTAAGTCTTAATATATATATATATATAATATTATATATATAATATACTATAATATATTCATTATATATATATATATATAGATAATATAATAATATAATATATAAAAATATACTATCATTAGACTATACTACATCCACTATCCCAATTTTAAGTACCTAAGTCATACCTTATCCACCACCATTCAATTCGATTGGCCGAGAAGGAGAGGACGAGAATAGACGGAGAGAGAGGGGGAAAGGAAGAATGAAGAGAGAAGAAGAAAAAATTGCCCACCGGAGATGTTTTCCTTTATTCCTCTCAATTATAATTTACCGCTGTAGTTCTTCGCCAATAAAGTACAAAATGTCGATATATATACACAAGCGTTTGGCTTGCCTACAGAGAAACTAACTAGAAAAATTATCAATTGACTCTACAAACTATTTAGATTATGTCTTCATTTAGGACGATTTTTTATCTACTTCTGAAACAGCTTTTAAAAACTTTTTATCCACTAAAATCTGCTTTAGAAGGATTAAAAAAGCCGTTAAGTCAAGATTCGCAATTCAAGTATGTTACATTTTATCCTACTAAGTATCGTCATTACTCCTTAACCATTCCAACTGTAAATAATCGAGTATGACTTTTTAGACATCTTAACACTTATCTATCTCTTTTTTGATTTTAAATTCGTGAGATAAAATAAAGAACACGAAAAAATCAGTATCATGAGTATTTAGTATGGAACCAATTTGATCTATTTTTTTTAATGAATGGGTAGTTTACTGCATCTAAAGCTTTAGCTTTTGGAAAATGCACAGAGAGCAGATTCTCACTCGAATTAAAGTTTCATTTTGGTTACGCATTGTTTATTATATAAAGTAATAATTTTTAGCTGTTAAAAAAATAATTTTTATACTAAAAAGTACAGCTAAGAAAACCGTGAAGCCTTTAGGCTCTTTTGTGACCAGGCTTTTTTACTGTTTCTTAAACCGCTCAAATACAAAATTTATAATTTTTCATTAGGAAAAGCGGCTTAAGAAGCCACTTAAGAAAGCCGCTCCAACCGAACTAACGCCAAGCCTAAATTAGCTTACTTTAGAATGATTCAGATTTTACATTCAATCAGCTTCGTGTTTAGCCATTTTGTATGAAGCATAAGTCACTAATATGCGGAAAGTTTATTTCTGAAACAAATTGGAGTATTATTTAATGAGCGGCCAATGGGCCACCAGGCCCACTTTAGGCACCTTTTTTTATTAAGAACTTAGACTTTAACTAAGGGTCTTCAGTTTGATCTTTTACCCCGCATATGTATTTATGTTTTAATTTACCTTAAAGTTGATCAAAATATTAAAAAAAACATGTTAATTTTTTTAATTTTATTAATATTATTATTTCCGACCCCCCACATAGGTGATAAAGCTTAATGTTGCTATTGTTATTTGTTGTATATTTATTAATTCATTTATTTTTTCTGTCATCAAGTTTGTGATAAACCTCTCAGTAATATTAAGACATAAAAATATACATATCTTAAAGGATTTTATTATTCAAAAATCTCAACCAATAAATTCAAAGAAACTACATAATACCCTAAGTTATAATATATCATTGCATCGCAATAAAAAATTCTTGTAATATACAAG